CTGTTGCAGTTTTTGTTTCACCCCTTTAGCATCAGCACTGACGCTCAATCCCTTCCCTTCTATTGAGATTCCTTTTGCATCAGCTTTACCGATTTGTGAATCATGAGCTTTTGCTTCTTTTTTAGTGAAAATTTTCATAAAAGACACAGCAATAGCTTTAAAGCTAAAGGAACTTTTCTTCTCATCAGTAGTTTCTTCATTATCACCATCGCCCTCACTCTTGCTCTCTTCTAATGTCACTAACTCACTTATGCTAATAATATCATATTCCTCTTCTATAGTACTACTGTCTGCCACAGCTTCCAATTTGGCCTCGAATTTAGCTTTATCTTCTTCCTTCTTTGTCTCCGTTTTTTTAAGAAATTCTTTTGCAATCTCTGCCCCTTCCTCCATTCCAATCTTCTTTACTTTCAAGGCACTCACAGTCTCTTTAAAGCCCACTTCTTTCATTATTTCTTCAGCATCTCTCTGAGCAATCCTTCTAGTTGCTTCCCTTCCTTTTAATATGGTACCATCTTCTTCCACATAGATGTCTTCATGATCAGGAGCTGCTGGAGTTGCCATAGCATTTATATGCAAATTTAAAGACTTAGAGACTGCTGGTGAAGACAGAATGCCAGAAACAAGAAACCATAGATCTACTGTTTTTAAACAAGGCCTCGGGTGCTGATAATGCAGAGCTGAATCAGCTGATAACGCATCAGATCAGAGTTATAAATTGTAGGAGGAGTTTAATTTATGAATTTATAAAATGGCTCTTGAAATAGAGAGTGCAGAGTAAGTAATCAAACAGTATATTCCATTTTTAATTAAATAATTATTGTTTGTAGTGTTATAAGATTAATACAACAATATCTAAAAGAAAACAACCTTCAAAGATCACTACTTACACTACAAGTGAGAATGAATAAACAAATCAATACTAATAATTATAATGATTAGGAGGAGACTGGTATATCTCTCAATACAGTGGATTCTATTGAAAGTTTTGTGTCAGATATCAGTAAAGGACACTGGGATGCTGTTCTTCAAGCCATTCAATCTCTGAAACTACCAGACAAAACATTAATTGACCTATATGAACAGGTACGTAAATCCGCCATTTTTGTTTTCATTTTGCACATGCTCCATCAAATAATTTATTAATTAATAGATAGTGATTGAGTTGATTGAGTTAAGAGAATTAGGGGCAGCCCGTTCCTTACTAAGACAGACTGATCCGATGATAATGCTGAAACAGCAGCAGCCGGAGCGATACATACACCTGGAGAACCTGCTGGCAAGATCTTACTTTGACCCGAGAGAAGTAAGTGATTGCCACCATTGTATGGCAGAGGATATATTGCATGTTGTTGTCTACTGTTAGGCTTACACTAATGGAAGCAGTAAAGAGAAGAGAAGAGCTGCTATAGCTAATGGTATTGAATTGTATTTTATTGATTTATTATTTTATTTATTAATTTATTTATTATGTTATTTATTTATTTATTTATTTA